CCCATTTTCTAATCTCCCCCCAGACATCATTTTCCTCCTAGAGAACCCAGATATCTGGGCTCCCACCTCTCCCATTGTAATCACCCCCAGATCTGGAGATAGGCCCCCTACTTCACCAGACCCCCCACACCCCTTCCCAAAGCCAGGTTGGGACTCAGGAGTTTTGGGTCCCAACCACCCCCAGTTTTCCCCTACTCCCTCTCCAAAGCTGGGGCAAGACCCTGGGGTCCTCCTCCCAGCCCGTTTTGACCTAACCCACACCTCTCCCTGAGCTGGGGAGAACCCAGGAGTTTGGGCTCCTTCCTAGAGCTGGGGGAGAACCCAGACATCCGAGCAACCCTCCCCCCTTGCAATCAGGAGACCCCTCCCAGGGCTGGGCATAGACCCCAGACATCTGGTCTCCTAGTGATACCAATTATATCCCTGCCACTCCCACCATGGCACCCACTAGGCTGGACTCCTGTTGCCTTCCCCACGCCAGAGCCAAGGACCCAGACTTTGGATCCGCTGGGAGAAACCTGTCAGCAAACATTCACCCTTTGCAGAAATGAGAACCTCAGGGTGATGAAGGGAAGTTGCGGGGTGGGGAGGTAGGGACGGTGGCTGGAGGGGGCCATAAAACTTCTGTATGGGCCAAGACTATGGCCAAGCCCCGTGGCCCACCTGACAAGCTACTAGATCCCATGCACCTCCCAGAGCTGGGAAGGAACCCAGGCATCCTAGTGTCTAACCAACCCCCATGGACCCCTCCTCTCTGACCTAGGATGTAACCCAGGTGTCTGGGCTTCCAACCTGCCCCCACAGACTATTCCCAGAGCTGGGATGCAACCCAGTCATCCTGGCTTCACCCTCCCCCATAGAACCCAGCTGTCCTGCCCCTGTAGTGATTTCGCAGCCCCCTGCTTTATCCCACTGGACTCAATGCAGGGCATCTCTCTCTTCCCTCCCCCACCTGACCCCCACCCTTCATGCTCTGGCTGCATCCCCAGGAAGTCACTTTGCTGGCTCCATGCTGGGTGGAGAAAGACACCAGTTGTCTGTAAATACTTCGTATCCATAAATAGCTCCGTGTTGCCTGCAGGTTGGCAAGGCAGGTCTCCCTGCCCATGGTTACACTGGGAGTGGGGACCCAGGGCTGGGTCCCAATGGCTGGCAGAGGGGGGTGGGGGGGAGTTGCACATACTCCATGGGGCACCTCAGGGGTGCCTGGGCACAGGCTGGGTTGACCAAGGCATGGGCTGCACTGGGGGCCATTTGAACCCAGCTAGACCATGCCCCCGTTCAGGAAGAACATGTCTTTCTGCCATGACATGGCCACAGAGGGAGAGTGTGGCAGGTATGGACAGGATGGATAAATAGATGGATGTTGGGACGGGGCACATGGATGGATGGATGGATGGATGGATTTCAGTATGGCCAGATGGAGGAAGGGAAAGAAGGATAGAATGGGGTGCAGGGGGTGGATGGGTGGGTGGATGGAGTGGTATGTATGGTGATGAATGGATAGATAAATACAGAGAGGGGCATCAATTAATAGATAGATGGATGAATGGATGGAGCATATGGGGATAAAGGGAGAGGGTGCATGGATAGAGGGGCGTCAGGGAGAGACAGAGGGGGATGGATAGATGGATGGATGGATGGACAAAGGGTGTGGGGGATGGACAGATGGGTGGATAGATAGATCAATACATGGATGGATGGAGGGGTGTGGATACAGGCATGTGGACATGGGTATGGATAGATGGAGGAAGGAGTGGGTATAAGAGGATGGAAGGAAGGAAGGAAAAGGAGCTATGGAGATGGAAGGAAAGAAGGATGGATGGATGGAGAGATGGAGGGAGTGTAAGGGAATGGATTGAAGATGAGTAGGGGGGTGTTTGGAGATAGATAGATAGATAGATAGATAGATGGGAGAGGCTTTGGGTATAGACCAGGGGTGGGCACAATGCAGCCCATGAGCCAGATGCAGCCTGCCAGGCCATTCTATCTGGCCTGTGGGGCCGCTAAAAAAATTAGAAAATTACTATTTATCTGCCACTGGCTGCCTGTCATGCAGCCCTCAATGGCTTGCCAAAACTCAGTAAGTGGCCCTTCGCCTAAAATAATTGCCTGCCCCTGGTACAGATGGACAGACAGGTATGCACGGGTGGTTGGATGGGGTCTGTGGGTTTGGACAGACAGACGTGCCCGGGAGTGGCTGGAGGGAGGGCTGGCATACATGAACATATGGACACATGGACAGAGAGGCTGTGGGGGTGTAGACAGGCAGACAGGAAGGTGCACATGAGAACCCATGAAGACGGGGGTATACAGGGACAAATCCATGGATAGACAGACAAATGGACCAATGGGCATGGGGCTGGACTGGTGGGTTACCTGCCATACCTGCCACTGGTCAAGGCTAGGCCTCTGGGGACCTGGAACACCCTCTCCCTCCCCAAAACGGGGAGAAGGGGAGCTCTAGTGGGGACCATCTTGCTCCCCTCCCAGCAACCTGAAATTTCCTGTGCCCTGGCCCATGGTGGGTCATAAAAGGAGGAAACTGTGAATGATTAACCAACCCTGGGGAGCCACAGGCAGTGGCAGGTGATAACCTGGGGACAGCAGGGAGGGGTAAGTGGAAAATTTCTTGTGCCTTCTGCGCTGCCCCCATCCTTCCGCCCTGCCCCTGCCACACCCCCAGCCCGGACACCCTCACCCACCTGCTCACCCACACCTATGCACCAGCCAGGATGTCACCCTCCCACCCCCACACACGTGGGTGACGCACCCACCCACCCATTTGCCCTTTGGTCTGTGGGTCTAGCCATTCGTGCACAGGCACAGAGAGCATCTGCCTGTCTATTGAATCCCACACACCCCTTCTGCTCCTCCAGCCAGCCGTTCATCCATCCCTGCACTGCTCTCCTTTGTCCATACAGCCAACACGCACCCATCCACCCACCCATCCAATGCTTGCCTGGCCAGCTGTCCCGCATTGCCCCTCCACCCCTTGGGGCTGCTTCTGGAGGGGCTGGGCCACCGTCATGGCTAAACATCTCAGCCCTCCTCTGGATCTCGTCCATCTGTTTCCTCCCACGCCTCAATGCCCAGGGTTCAAACCTCCCTCCCTTTGGCCCTGGATGACTGGGGAGAGGGGGTTGTCCATGGGTTGGGTTACCCCCATATGCCCCAGGGAGCCTGTGGGAGGAGTGGAGACACCGTACTGGTTTTCCCTGGTACCCTGGATCCCATCCTGGTGGCATCTGTCCACAAGCCCAGGAGGAACTGGCTTACCTAGTGTGAGGGGGAATCTATGTTCTTCTCCATTACTTGTCTTCACACCTCCATCTTGCCGTCTTGGATGCATTCCTCCCTCCTGCCAAAGATGCC